CAACGGCATTAAACAACAACAACAACACATGTATTAATATTACCAGATGGAATGTACAGGAATCAAATTAACTACATCTGTGGGAAGAGACAGTGGAAAAGCTCACTATCATCAGTCAAAACAAGGCCAGACACTGATGGTGACACAGACCATCAGTTACTCATATTCAAGTTTAGGCTAACAAGGAAGAAAATGAAAACAAGTTCACGAGATTCAGAAGAGGATGAAGGATAAGGAATATAATTACTGATGTCAGATGGATCTTGGCTGAAAGCAGAGAATACCAGAAAGATATTTACTTGTGTTTTATTTAGTATGCAAAGGCTTTAGACTGTATGGATAATGCCAAGACATAGATAACATTGTGAAGAATGAGTATTCTGGGAAACTAAACTGTGCTCATGAAGAATCTATACATAGACCAAGAGGTAGTCGTTTGGACAGAACAAAGTAAAACTCAGTGATTTAAAATCAGGAAAGGTGTGTTCCAGGGTTGTATCTTTTCACCATACTTAATCAAACTGTATATTGATCAAATAATCTAAGGAGCTGGATCATAAGAAGAAGAACATGGCATTAAGATTAGAGGAAGACTTTTTTTTTCCTGTTTGGTGCATTGCTAAAGGTTTTGCTGTCACCATGGGCCACCGACCCGCTCGATGTTACCAGTACTGTAAGAACAAACCTTATCCGAGGTCTCACTTCTGCAGAGGTGTCCCTGATGCCAAGATCCGCATCTTTCATCTAGGTTGGAAGAAGGCAAAAGTGGATGAATTCCCACTTTGTGGACACATGGTGTCTGATGAGTATGAGCAGCTCTCCTCAGAAGCCCTAAAAGCCGCCCGTATCTGTGCCAACAAATACATGGTGAAAAGCTGTGGTAAAGATGGCTTTCATATCCGAGTGCGGCTGCATCCTTTCCACGTAATTCGCATCAACAAGATGTTGTCCTGTGCTGGAGCTGACAGACTGCACACCGGAATGCCAGGAGACTTCGGGAAGCCTCAGGGTACTGTCGCGAGAGTCCACATCGGCCAAGTGATCATGTCGATCCGTACCAAGCTTCAGAACAAGGAGCATGTGATTGAGGCCCTCCGTAGAGCCAAGTTCAAGTTCCCTGGACGCCAGAATATCCATATCGCCAAGAAATGGGGCTTTACCAAATTTAATGCTGCTGAATTTGAAGGCCTCTTGGCGAAGAAGCACCTCATCTCCGATGGTTGTGGCGTCAAATACATCTCCAGTCGTGGTCCCCTGGGCAAACAGCAGGCCTTACATTCCTGAGGACTTTGGCAGCATTGTTCTTCGTGGGTCAGGGTGGTCGGATTTATGGCTACCAACAAATTGTATTTATCAGTTCATGGGCCTAGAGTCCATAGCTGCTCTGTCTTTCCATGCCACCACCTCTGCTGCCTTCTCTGCTGTCTCTGCTTTTTTGAGGCAGGGATTCCAAGAGCCACTTGGAATTCTTCCTTAATGATGGTCCTGGGATTGTCTGTTCAAGTACGTCCCAAGTGATCGCCAGTGTGCATACGACTCGTGGATTCCCGTTAACTTTCAGTCCTAGAAAGGGTATTTCTCAGATGGGCTGACTCTCCTCGCCTTGATGCCTCCTAAAACTCAAAAAGCCAAACTCTCCGCTTTTTTTTAACTCCTTGAATTTTCCGCATTCCTTTTTTTTGGTACTTTTGTTGTTTCCATTGCTTTGCTGTTGTAAAAATAGGTGTGCTGATGTCTGTTCATGTCATGATTTGTAAGTTTCTAGGATATGTGAAAGAAGCTCTGGTAGCATAGCGACTACGAGTGGGGCCGATAATCTCAAGGTCCGTAGTTCATACCAGCCATTTCATGGGAGAAAGATGAAGCGTTGTGCTCCCATAAAGAGTTATAACCAGAAACCATACGAGTCAGGGCCACAACGAGTCAGAAACTACTCACCGGTCCACAACAGCAGAAGCAGCAGCAGCATATGTGGACAAGGAGCCCTGGTGACTCATATGTTAAGTGCTCGGTTTGAACACACCAGCAGGAAAATGACGTGGCAGTCTCCTTCCATAGATTTATAGTTTTGGAAAGTGTATGAGGACAGTTCTATCTCCTATAGAATCACTAGGAGTCCAAATTGACTAGACTGGAATGTGTATTTCGAGGTGTATATCTGGGAATGGGATTGTCAGATGATAGGGTACTTCTAGTTCTAGTTTTTTGAGAGAGTGACAAACGGACATAGCAGTCGTACCATTTCATAGTCCCTCCATTATTGGATGAAAGTTCCAGTCTCCCGACATCCTTGCCAACCATTATTATTATCTGTTTTGGTTTTATCAATGCACTTTTAGACAAAGTAAGATACTATTTCATTGTAGCTGTGACTTGCATAAAATAGATAGTATCTTTCCAAGTCTGTTGGACGCTTTCATTTCCTCTTTGGTGAAACTTCTGTTCATGTCCTTTATCAAGGTTTTCATAGCAAAAAAAAGATTAGAGGAAGACTCATAACAACCTGTAACATGCAGACGATACAAACCTTGCTTGCTGGAAGCAAAGAGGATTTAAAACACTTACTGATGAAGAGCAAAGATTGCAGCTTTCATCAATTCAATGAGAAAACAAAAACCTTCAAACCGGACCAGTAAATAATAACTTGGTAAACACAGAAAAGATTGAAGTTGTCAGTGACTTCATTTTGCCTGGATCCATAATCAACATTCATGGAAGCAGAAGTTCAGAAGTCAAATAATGTACAGCATTGGGCAAATCTGCTGCGAAAGACCTCTTCTAAGTGTTCAAAAGCAAAGGTATCAATCTGAGGACAAAGGTGTGCCAGACCCAATCTATGGTATTTTCAAGTGCCTCCTCTACGTGTGAAAAGGAGTTCTGGTAGCATAGTGGTTACAAATCGGGTTGTGAGCCACAAGGTCAGCAGTTCGAAACCACCAGCTGTTCAGCGAGAGAAAGAGGAGGCTTTCTGCTCCCGTAAAGATTTACAGCCTCGGAAACCCTGTACAGGGTCGCTATGAATTGGAACCGACTCCACGGCACCTAATAACACAACAACAATACATGTGAAAGGAAGACCAGAGAAGAATTGATGCGTTTAAATTATGGTGTTGGTGAGAAATATTGAAACTACCAGAGACTGCCAGAAGAACAAACAAATCTGTCTTGGAAGGAGTACAGCCAGAAGGCGCCTTAGAAACGAAGATGGTGAGACTTCATCTGGCATTCTTTTGACATGTCATGAGGGATCAGTGCCTGGAGAAGAACATCATGCTTGGTAAAGTGCAGGGACAACATAAAAGAGGGAGCGCCCCAATAAGATGGACTGACACGGTGCCAATAAGGACTCACACCGAGTAACCATTGACAGGATGACGCAGGACCAGACAGGGTTTCATCTGGTCATGCATAGGGTCACTATAACTCAGAATGGACTTGACAGCTCATAGCAAATACAACAGCAGCAAAAAGAAATGAAGTTCTAATACAAACTGCAACAGGGATAAGCTTAGAAAACACTATGACAAGTGAAAGAAGCAAGATGCAAAAGGTCACATAGTCTAAGATTCCATTTCTATGAAATGTCCAGAATGGAAAAAGCTGTAGAGACAGAAAGTAAATTAGTGGTTGCTTTGGACTGCAGAGTTGGAGGCAACTCTGCTGGAATGACTCCCTGCCCAGCAAGCTGAGTGACTAGTCTGAGTGGATTTCAGGAAGGAACTGGGCAGGCTCAGAATCCGTCTGAGCTCTCCCTGCCTGTCCTGGGGAGGTGGGCTCTCCTGCACACAGCCCTGCCTGTCACTCAGGGGCAATAGTATGCTTCGCAAGAGAACAGAGAAGTGAAAGGACACTTCAGGCTACCAAAATCATCCCCTTCCTAAGTAACTCTGATGCTGACTCAAGAGATGTCCTGGGCCAAGCTTAGCAGGCTCCTTGTTCATTATTCCGCCTGGAATGTGATACTTCCCCTCAAGAATCTCTGCTAAGGCCTCCCTCTCCAGCAGTAGGACCCTCATCCACATTTCCTTGGCTGCTGCTCTCTGAGGCACAGACGCCTTGCCTGGTACCAGGACACTGACAACATGTGCAGTGGGACTCAGGATTGAGAACCACAGAAAAGTCGGTCCCCTAAATTGAAGAGGTTCCCAGTTTCTGGCCTGCAGTTGAAACAGTCTACAGCATGGTCACTACACTTGGCCCAAAGGACGCTCCAGATTGCTGCTGAACCTCAGTGCCAAGCACCACCACTACGCCAGCAGAAGCTCACGATAACCAAGCATAAAGTTCAGTCCAACCCGAGCAAATGCAAAGAACTTACTTCCAATAGCATTCAAGACTTTTGTCCTGAGGAAGAGGTCTGCTGTGCTCCAGTGAGCAAGTGAACACAGGCTAAGGCAAGAGACTCACAGCTGAATCCCTGGCCTGAGGTATTGCTATGCAAAGTCCATTGAACTAATCCTGCCAGGGACACTGTGGCTAGACTAAGGCAGACATATGGAGGCTCCAATTCTGCTCCTGCCTCCAGCCACCCATCCCAGGCTGAATGTTTGGAAGTTTCCTGACCGAGCCTGCATGAGAACAACCTAAGTTAGGCCACAGTAGCTGTTGTTATGTGCCGTGCAGTCGGTTCCGACTCATAGCGACCCTGCACAGGGTTTCCGAGGCTGTAAATCTTTATGGGAGCAGAAAGCCTCCTCTTTCTCCCACAGAGCAGCTGGTAGTTTCGAACTGCTGACCCTCAGGTTAGCAGCCCGTTTTTCTAGAGAATATTAGTTATCAAACCGCTCAGTATCTGTTGAAGGGGAGCATAATCTGTCTCTGATGACACCCAAGGCAGCCATTTTCTTTATGGTGCTCTCAGTGACTTCAATCCTGCAGAGTCCATCAGAGCAGTGTCCTGGGCTGAGGTCAGGCTGAGCAGTAACTTGATCCAGATGGTGGTGCCGAGCTGGAGAAGCAGACTAAGCCTGGAACAGATGAGAGGAATGCTCCATCCACCAGAGCGAGAGATCCAAGAGATGTGGGACAACGGAAGCAGGGTTAGAAAGGTCTAAATCAGCATGCTGGCCAAAAAGCAAAGCTCTTAAAAGACAAAGAATCGAACTCTCCAGAGATTCCTGAATAACTCCTTAGGCCTGGCTACCAGACACTGACATTGAAAACTTCTTTCAGGTTTAATCACGTAGCAAAACTGGAAGAAGTTTTCATTTTTTAATGAAAGGTCTTATTGTTCAGATGAAGGTATTTCATAGGTACCTTCAACTCCACAGGAAAGTTCAACACGACTAAAAGATAATTACAAAGATAGATTTAAAAAACAAACAAACACATGCATACACGAAAACAAAGCAGGAGAAACCAAATCTACTGTTTATATCTCACACCTCCACCTGCAGGTGTTTGGACTCAGTCTGTGGAACCAATTAGGGGTCCATCATCCTGTCTCTGGCATCCACAGGATAAGACCCGGGGAGGCAAGAGACCCGGAGAACAAGCTAAGAGCTGGAAAGCAGCCTCCCAGTGCTGACAGCTCTGTTGGCATCAAAAGTTGTTGTGAAGTTGGAAACCCTCCCGTTCAGAACACAGATGGACAGCCTTGCACTCTCTAGAGGGGAATATACCAGAGCAGTCTTTATTAAAATAAATACTTCCATAACAAAACACAAGAAGATAAGCATTCAAGAAGCTGAATGAGTCGCAAACAGGAGAGACCCAAAAGAAAATCACCAAGACATTATAATCAACATCTCTGAAATCAAAGGCAATGACAGAACCCTAAAAGCAGCTTGGGAATTAACTACTGAGGAGAACCAATACGATTAAGCTCCAGTGACTTTTGAACCAGGAAGGCCAATGGACTGCAGCCTTTGCAAAAGACAGAGGGCAGGGAATAGCAATGAATCTGTCTCCGACGCAAAAACCACCCAGCAATGTCTGGAAAGAGGTGTGAAGGTATTTTTCTGGTTTATTTTCTCTTTTCATTCAGCCATTCTTGTTGCTCTCCCCTGTCATGCCTTCTCTGTCCAGTCTGGGTATCTTCACACAGGTGGGAGCGCACCTCCAGAGATGGTCCAGTGTTGCATCCAGAGGGTTTGCAACATGTGGGAAATTGGCAATGACCTCCTAAGTTGCCCAGGGCAAGTATTTTCCCACCACTCAAATAGGAACATCCAGAAGTCTCCATCAGCTTTGGGGGCTTATCATTGATGGCTTTTTACATTTGACTTTGGCCCTTCTCCTACTCTGTTAGAAGTTTTTATCCATGCCTCACCTAATAAGAGACA